ATTATGTATATTTTTACGGGCATATAAAATATTTGAGTAAATGTACTCTGATGCCACAGTCATGATACCAGTCTCCTTAAACTTTTCTCTGAGAGAAACTCGAGAGCCTGGACGGTACACAGAACGAATCGCTCGTTTTTGCAATACAAATATGGTTTGAATATCTGCCGCTTTACCACACATGAGAATCCCGTAGGACATTATACTATGGAAGTAACTAAAGTAAACTAGTCTAGCTGTACTAACATCAGTAAGCTCACGTATTCTGCGGACTGCGTATGCAGCAGAGCTTAATCTGCTGGCCAGGAAAGGTATATGTGGAAACCATTGAAGTTTACTATCTAAGGTCACTCCCAAGAAGACTGCTTTATTAACAAGGTCTAACTTTTCTCCGTTTATTTCTATGCTTGGACTAGTCGATTTTACGTTAGGTAATTCAAATTTAACACATTTTGTCTTCTTGGCATTAAGCAATAAATTGTTAGCATTAAACCAATAAACTACCTTAGAGAGGGTATCATTAATATGGTCATAGTTAATGTCATGTCCGTCTGTTTTAAAAATCAAGGATGTGTCATCAGCAAACAACACTATTTTGCAATGGTCCTTAACAAAGAATGGCAGATCATTAATATAAATCAGAAATAAGAAAGGCCCAAGTATTGAGCCCTGCGGAACACCCATTTTTACTGGAGAACCCAAAGACGTCACACCATTTATGTCTACTTTCTGAATTCTACTGTTGAGATATGACGAGACAAGTTTCGACGCCTTGCCATTTACACCGTAATGTTCCAGCTTCCTAATAAGAGTAATATGATCAACGCAATCAAATGCCTTTGAGAGGTCAGAAAACACCAATAGCGTTCTGGGACCTTTCCCAAGCATCAAAGATGTGTTTTAGTAACGCTACCCCCGCATCACTAGTCGATTTACCACTAGTAAAGCCGTATTGTTCACTATGAAAAATGTGATTCCTACCGAAATAGGACAGTATTTGAGTCAGCATAACCTTTTCGAATATTTTACTTAAAGCTGGTAAAATTGAAATGTGCCTATAGTTGCTAGGATCAACTTTCCTATCGCTTTTAAATAAGGGAAAAACCTTGCTGTATTTCATTAAATCGGAAAAATCACCTTCGTCAACGCACCTATTGAAAGCTACAGCTAAGTGTGGGGAAATTAGATCAATAACTGAGTCTATAACTTTAGTTGATATACCCCAGAGATCTTCAGTTTTTTTAACATGTATTGATTTAAAAGGTTTTATGATGTCTTGTGGATTAACATAACGGAAATTAAATAAACTGCCACAAACGTTAACATTTACCTTTAGGAGATCAATAGCAAGTGAAGGGGAGGAATTTAATGATTCTGTAGTGTTACAGCAATTTCCGAAAAGAACGATTCAAAAGCTTGGGCTACTTTATCTTTAGATTTTATAAGTTTTACTGTCTAATTCTAAAACTTTTTTCTTTATATCTCTATCGTGTTGTTTAACCCTGCCTGACTCTTTACCTATTATACTCCAAGTAGTTTTAGATTTATTTATCGATTGTCTAATTTTGTCGCTGTGAAACTTAACCTTAGCAGCTACACATACTTTTTTAAATATTTTTGAATAAATTCTAATATATTCTATGAAATTGGAATTGGTATTATGAGTTTTCATAGCATATAGCTCATATAAACAAGACCTACTCTTATGAATACCTACTGTTGCCCAGTCGTTGAATTTAGTCTAGCTCTCTATGGATAGTTAATGTTTTCGATTTAAATATATTATCAAATTCATTTTTAATTAAACCAAATATCGTGCTATATAAAGTTTTGGAACCTACGGTATATGGGGTAGGGAATTTAAACTATTGCCGATACTATTTTGAAATCTAATGATTCGTTCTGTGGTAATCGGTCTGCAGATAAATTGGTCTACCTTCTTGCTCATTTTACAATTAAAAGAAGCCAATTGGCCACTATGGTCTGATCTTAAGTAATTTATTATTGATTTAGATACTGCGTCTGTGTTACAAAATATGTTATCAATACAAGTAGAAGAGGAGGCAGTGATGCGAGTTGGCTCTAAGAAAAGATTAATCAAGTTAAAACTTTTAAATAAATTAATGAGTCTTGCAGAAGTAGAACAGTTTTCCAACAGGTTTACATTGAAATCTCCACATATTACTAGGTTTTTTTGGTTGGAAAAATCCTCTTTAACATAAAAACAAGAATGTTTATTTTATTGACTATGACTATTTTTTTTGTACTATGATATTTATATTTTTTTTTTGTAACAATACTTGTTATGGGAATAATATCATTGTGGGAACTTATCACCTCTGTCCGCTCTCAGCCAACAATGTTGTTTATATGAGTGAATTTGATAATTACAATACAATATAAAGGAAAATGGAGAAATAATAAAATTAAATTACATATAAGTATGCCTATATATTCTATCTCCCTTTCCGTTAAACGGGTCTTCAATTGTCTCACCAACGGCGTTTTAATGGTCATACTTTTCATGCGAGTTTTAAGAACTCATAACAAGTTAGACCTTTTGCACAAGTTTTCGTTTAATAAAAACATTGCAAGACCGGGCAAAGCATTCAATTGTTCTTGCATTTTGTACAATATTTTTTCCTCCATTGAGATAAAAAAACTTGACTGATAATCTAGTCAACTTATTGCAGAATCCAAAACGGAAACATTTCGCCACTGTTCTTGATGAAATATGAAACATGAATATCTTTAAAGAGACGGGTTTAGGCCGTAGGCCGTTACTCTGGCACAATGCGAGTTATGGACTTCCAGCCTCCATGGATGACCAGCGTCCAGCCTCCTTGGATGGTTACCGAGCTGACTGGCCACAACAGACTCATTACACTGGCAAGAATTCAAAATTAGACCGACTTTATTTTGAACAAAAACGACGGCCAACTTGAATAAAGGCCACAGCTTAGAAATTGAGCTACTACCATTCTACATATTTATACACATAGTTATCTCACCTTCACAAGCGTGACTGCCAATAGCGGCAATATGTACGTTGTTCCTTTTAGAATGATGTCGTACAAGCTTTGAAACACTGTTTGTACATTGTCTACAAAACTAAATAAAAAAAATTATTAATGTATATTTCACCACCAAACAAAGTAAATGTAAATTGAACGGCAGTTCTTCATTAACTCATATACCTCCCACTGATGGACATGGGGGACATGTGAACCTTCTTGGACACGGAGTGTTTCGAATGACAATGTGATTAAAAGTAAGCTAAGTGGACCTTGAGAAGAAAGTGAGACTGATCAAAATAACGTGAAAATACACAGCAAATGTTTGACTTCTCTTACTACTACAAGTTATATTGTTACTTACACCGTTTGCGAAGACAGACAAATATTCTCACAACTCTAGACTATCACTGCTATAAGGTAGTTTCTTACCTGTAAATTGTTCTTAACTGCTTAGCGATATCCCTTAATTTTTTATTTGCTTCCTCAGCTGAGAAACCTTGATCGGGGAATAGTTTCTTAATTCGAATTTCCAATAGAGCTAATTGTCCACTCGCGTGCAGCATGAACACAGGCCCCAGAGGCACTAAACTATTGTACATCAAGCAAGAGTACAACATTCCAAAGCCCATGATAAAATTTACCAAAACATATCGTAGTGGAGACCGGTCATCAAGTTTCGGGAAATGTACGGGATACAAATCAGCAATATAGAAGTCGTCATTTATAGCGGAATATATTGTAAAACCTATAGCTTGTAGGGGATACACCATTACACCCCAGTTAACAGTTCTACACCACCATTTTGTAACAAATTGTCCTTTGCGATTGTATTCAAGCACAATTTCCATTTCCTCAGCGGATAACGTTTTTGCGTGTTCGTAATCGGTTTTCACATGTTCCATTAAATTACGAAAAATATTTTGGTATCTCAGCATAGTTACGTACATAAACGTAATAACAATGTTAATTACAATAAGCGTGCCATCTCCACAAAGTCTTATCAATTCTTTATTCTTGATGCCATATTCCTTCAAATTGTATATTAGGAGAAAGAGCATAGCTTCATATGCACCTTGCATAATAACAAATTTAATTAACCATTTCCAATCTCTCGGATTATAAGGGTTAACTCCGTTCAGTTTCGATGCGTTAACGATTTGTTGAAAATTTTTGTCAAAATGCAGATCCATTGTCGTTTCGTTTTCTACAATACAAACAAGTACTGTGACATGGACTAAAATAACAAATATTAAAAGCTTACCCACCTAGAGAATGTCTTTTATTATAGTAACAGCTGTTACGCCAGCCATTTTAATTCTGCTTGGTTATAAAGACTTGCATGGGAAGTTAATTGGTTTCCACAGGGCTAATAAATAATAAATAAGATAATTATAATACACGATAATAAGATAGGCAGGATTTATTTAGAATTATAAAACGACAACAATGTTACCGAAGAACCTTTTTTTCATTTACTCGAAAAGCAGTAGAGAGATTCTTTAGATTAGTGTAAAAATGGTCAACGATGATTTTTGTATCAGGCTGGTCACAAAGCCAATAAGTAGTGCCGCAAAGGTTTTGTTTGGTTATGTTAGGGCGGTTATTGCTAATTGAAAACTTTATCAGGTTTTACGGAAGAAACTTTTCTTCATTTACTCGAAAAGCGATAGAAAGGTTCTTCAGAATCGTGTAAAATATCTCAATCACCCGTTTTGTACTAAGGTAAAGCAGGTACATATTGTAGTAAGGTAATGTTAAGACATTCTGTTTCAAGCATGCTTACATCCTTCAAGCTGCATTCAAGGACAATAAAATTCAATGTTATCTTCATCCTAATAAAGCAGTCATTAGGGTCGAAACACAAAATGCGTTGCGACGTCGCATCGCGCCGATTCGCAGTTTTGTGTTTCGACCATAAGGTACCAAAAGGTAACAAAACAAAAAAATGGTAAAAAATTAATTCGAATACATGAATCCTGCTTTATTTAGTGGTTTTTGTAATGATAAAATGTTTTGAGGCAAAAGTAATATAACGATCTTTACTCCATTTATATATTTTTAAGTGTTTTTTACATTTACACAGATATATTAACTGTTGTGGAACGTGCAAAGTTATATTTTCTATATTGTAGTCTCCTATATAAGTAATTTAAATGCAGTGTCCTAACTGTATAATTACAGGACTTATTTAAGATATTATTCCTGACTCAAATTCATTGTTAGTGAATGTAAAATTTAGAAAACAACTAATTAATTAAAGTAGGAAATGAAACTATTTTTTCATCATCAACATCATCATCTACAGCCCAATTGCATCCAGTGCTTGGTATAGGAGTCGTGTAGTTTGTACACACGCCAGCATATCAAGCTACACATTGATGTATTTTTCCGTTGCACTGTAGCGATTTTCGAACAAAAATGTAGTCTGATGTGCCGTTGTCTGTCCACGATTCTGTGCTATTCTCATCATGCTCACTGGTCTCATCCATCTAGGGCCCGCAACTTTGACAATGTCGTCTAACCATTCCGCTATAGGACCTCTCACGTTTCTATAACCATTTGTTGGCCACCATTCAGTTATCGCCTTGCTCCATCTGCCTTCACCACGTCTCGTCTTTGTTTTTTCAAACAAGCCTTTTGTTTTGGTTTGGTTTGTTAATTTGTCAGTGTTTAACCTTGAGTGTATACCATTTTATCTTGTCCATGCAGTGGAATTCCTCCCATTGGGTTTACATTTTCTTAACGGAGTATTCGAGGTTTATATAGAACTACATGGTGATAGAGCATCTACCTGTTTGTACCCTGTAACTTCTTCGGACTCTTCTGAGTCATTTCAAACCTTCATTTTCAAACCTTATCATGATTTCCCTAGCTATCTTAAGGCGAGGTATTTCAATGCAAGTCTATATTTTAGGAGGTGAGGTGTGGGAGATCGCCTCTCGCGTCCCGCAACCCGAGCGCTGAAAATAATTAATATGAATAAAATAAGAACAGGCGGAAAAAATTTGACACAGATCCGACGTCGACAAGCGCCCGATGGCGACTGATGTGGCAGCGAGCGACGCGGTTCTTCGTTAAGCTCATATATCATACACTTTATTACCTCTGAGCATTTTTTAAATTTTGGGATAAATGTGAATGTTATAACTATAGGGATTCAGTTGACAACCAAAATTGAGCAGGTTCTCTGTAGTACTTAAAGATAAATATCTCCATATAACAATTATGTGCAAAGTTAGATATTTTATTCTTAAATACAATATGTTGATTTGCATTCTCGCCATATTTACAGAGGACATTCTATATCCGAAACTATATCACTAAAAAAATAAATAAAAAAAATAAATTTCCTAAATTCTTATTTTTTACTTAATTGTGGTAACCAAGTTTGATCCAAAGGTCATTGACTTGCACTAGAAGTTCCACAGGTACCGGCAACCATTTGAACAATGACCTATGCACAGAAAATATGCAATTTCGATCTATTTGGTGGCAGGGTACGAGTAGAGACGGGGGGAGTATCGTATCGAGCGCGTGATTGGTAGATCATCATGCGCGTTCATCGCGCATACGTTCTAGGTTCTCACGAAATGCAACGTGTTTTGTGTGCGATGTAAACAAGAGTGTAATAATGTAAACAGCTACCATGTGCATTACCATAAAGTGCATTCTTATGGCATGATGTGAAACGTTTAGTTTACGCGGATTACGAGTGTCGAAGAATTGCGCGCAAAAATCGTGTTTGGTTTCTTTCTGCTTTTTCCGTTGTGAAGAATGTGCTAAGTTGAAACGAAACTTTGCATATCTGTGGCTGGCTCCGATACGGAGCCTTTAAAGCACACGACTCGTTCGTCCCGTCACTTGATATTATAGAATAAAAAATAAATAAAAAAACATGTCGAGCAAAGATTCGACTAAAATATCAGTGAGTTATCAGTTATTGTAGTTAATATGAGAACAGCTATTTCTACACTGGTTCTGGTGGTGGTTCTGCACGATGGGTGCGAAAGAAATACTACACAATACATGATTATTTTCAAATAAAATTTAAAATAATGCATTTGAGTGCATGGTTGTAAAGTTATACACAGGTTTACAATTAATGGCATAACTTATTATTTCATTAGAGAGCGGTTTAATACATACGGCGGCTTATTGCAAACGTACAAGGCCATTTAGGTTACCTATTATATATTATTATTTATATTTTTGCATAAAGTACAGGGTGTAAGAAAGTGCATCTCAAATTTCACTAGGTGACTTTACCCATGATAATAATAATAATATAAAGAGTATTATCTACAGAAAAAACAGGTTTATAATCAAATGAAATTTAATATGGTGACCATAAGATGATACACAGTGTAGTGATAAAACCCATATTTTAACAGTGGCCGTAGCATGACGTGCAATGTGTGATAAAATTATTTCAGTTACTACCTATGACATATTTATTTCAGTTATTAAAGCTATGTTACCATTATTAATATTCTTTGTTTTTTTTATTGTGAATACTGAATTGGTAAGATATCACACTAGAGTCATTCGCTCTTTCGTTTATTTGGTAATGATCTGTTGTCATACATTTTGAAAAACAAGGATAACGATATGAAAGTGCGTATATAGCTATATTTGTACCGCAAAAGCGATGCAACAAAAAATACCATGTTTTTGTACTTCAGTTTTCATATATTTTATATTATATTAGTTGTTATTTACGTATTTCTACTTACTCTCATGTATTGAACTGCATTATTTATGTTCTTCTCACTGTTTTTATTATTTCTTTTTATCTTGTTTGTCGCGCTCAATTTGTACGTTGATAAAATTACTGTGTAGCATTGTCAAAATGTTTCAGAATCAGCTGTGACTTTGCGGCCATGTTTGTCACCGCGATATTTGTTTGCAACCATTGGTTGCAGCGCTCACGATGCGACAAAAATATGAGGTTACGACTCTCACCATGTTAGCTGTTTATCACTCGAAGTTAACAGCTAATGTGGATATAATAGCCTTATCGCGGCGGCACGCTACGGGGCAGATCTAGCATGCAATATTCTACTTAAAATGAATGAAGTATAAAGAATAAATACAGATGCATAAAAGCGTCGAAGTTCTAAATAATAAGTCTATCATAAAACTTATTTTGTCAATATTGTTACAATATGTTGAAGCCAGGCACAGTGGAAGCAATGAGGCGTGAACGTGCTAAGGCCAATGTTAGTGACGGAAATGAAATCGCGTTTTGATGCTTAATTTGTTTATTACGAGTATACATCTCATCTCAACAAATACAGTCATTAAGGAGTATCCTAAAATAGTTCACACAATAAAATAAATTAACGTACGAGTTGAACAATAACGATATCGATCGAAGCAGAGAGTCAGATAGGAAGTGGAAGAGCGAAAGTGACGTTTTGAAGTCTTACAGTCTTATTTCATGTCTTAGTTTTACAGTCTTCTATCTTTTATTTTCATTTATATTTTAAATCATAACTATAATCTAAAGAGTAGTTACCATACACTATCTTTCTAATAAAAATCAAACAAATAAATATTATATAATGTCGTAATTTTTATTTAAATTCAATTTCAAAATATTTATTTTCAGATAAAAAAAACTTATAAGCTATTGTTAATAGGAATATTATATAACATATTACTTAATTAATTTAAATCTAAAATGTCATGTACTTACAAGGCATCTCGTCCGGAATCATTGTCCGTACGAAATGCCTCAGTACAGGCGCTCTATGATCCTCTGCCACAACCTTCAGGATGATATTGTTACTCCCACTCTAACCAACAATACTACTTTTTTCCGCTTTCAATACTACGTTTTGACCACAGCAAATATCCCGGAGGCGCTGCAGTAGCGGAGCAGTCTCAACATCATCCTGAACATGTTTTTGTATTGGACGCACAGGGAATTTAGCGACCTTTGGGAGCACCAAAACCACAAGCCGCCCGTGCACGGATTCTGACAATACGCTTTGAAGTGCGTTATTTTGACAAGTTCCGCACAGCGGGCAAACTAGCGGGACAGCATATTCCCGCGTATCGCCTACGTTCTTTAATTCCTTTGCCTCGCCATTCTAATTTCGTTTCGTTCAATCGTCACTCCCTGCTCGATCGCGGCAGCGTATAGTGCTGTTAAAATTTCAATTACGTCCAATTTTGATCCCTTTACCAGTTTTAGTACCGATTTATAATAGCTACTAGTAATCACGTGCCAATTTTGATAACAATTTGTAATAACTACTGCTAAACGTATGCCAATTTTAATACCAGTCTGTAATACCGCATAACTCGGCCCTTTTGGGGTAAGTGTCTGGACTGTTTATGTTAATCCGTAGTAAGGGAGTGTTTTATAATGTTGTACATGTTTTTATACCTTTTCTTGTCTTGTTTATAGCCTTTTCTTTTCTTTACCATGTGCTTTACAAAGTAAATTTCTGTGGAACTGAAGTTTTCTTATTTTATTACCGTGAACCTGGACACGGCTCTTTTCACCTGTTTTACACTCATGCCATTTAGTGTAACCGGCGACCTTGAAAACCATGAACTCACATTTTTTAACGTTGTATATCAGTCCGTGCAATGTGACGTAGGCCTCACAGATTACCAGCATCGCCCTAATAGACCTCGCGGTCCGGTCTAGCAGCACGTGTCGTCCGCGTAGCTGATGTTGTTTACACAAACACCCGTCACACGACATCCGATACACAAGCTGCTGAGCTTGACTATCAGATCATTAACATACAGGTTAAGTCTTTGGAGAAAGCTTTGGAGACAACAACCCACCCTGTCTCTGTTTGTGAGGTTGTTGGACCACTTAACTTATTTATATGTCAATTTTATTTAAGATAATTTCGTATAATGTGCATAATATTTTGTAAGGTAGAAAAAACAATCCGTGGTTTCGCAATAGGATGCTCCTAACTAATAAAGTCAACCAATATGATCGAGATGATAGTTTTGCGAAAATGGCACCTAAATATTTTCTCGTTGTTTGTTTTTGAAACCGGAACGCAGTAATGCTCACGTTACTGCTTGAAGACAGAGATAGGTAAGGTTGCAGTACTTCCATTAACGAACTCTTTCACATGGAGCTCTACTGCGACTAAATCTAATCATGGTAAATTAAGGTAAAAGAAACAATGAGAGTACGAAATATATATTTGTGAAAAATAACAACGGCAGGTGTTTTTAAACAAAAAAAAACAATTTAATAAAAAGCTAAATATACGTACTGATAATTCAATAATTATTATAGTAATAACAACAACAATAAGCTGACAAGCTGAGAAAAATGAAGTAAACAATGATAATAATAATAAAGTAGTTAATTTAAAATAATTATAGTAACAATAAGGCACGCACTCATCGCCCACTCCGAAACCCTGTGTCGCGTGTCATGGAGACACACATAGGGTCGTATTCTAGAACTCTACTCAATGCTCAAGTCAGGATTTGAGTATGGTTTAAAGCACTCGAAATCATACTCAAGGCCCTGCCATTAGGGTCGTATTTCCAGTGCTTGTGTTTCCATAGCAATCCTGACTTGAGCATTGAGTAGAGTTCTAGAATACGACCCATAGACAACCACACATTACACCCAAACTCACGAGAGAATTAGGATTAGATCTTAGAATAGATATTAGACTAGAATTAATTATAATCACTCGAGAGAAGTAAATACAGGCCGTACAAATATTTCTCCCGGCCCGGGAATCGAACCCAGAACTTCTACGTGGCAAATCAGCATTGTAACCGTTCGGCCATCGAGGTAGTTAATGGTAATTAATCTACTCACTATAAGAGTGACAATGTGAAATACAAATTACTTATAAATACTTTTTTTTTTATTTACGCATAAGTTTATTGCAAAAGTAAATTGTTACATATTTTTAAATATTGAAACCTGGTGGTAAGTGACACCCCTGTTCTAAACAGTTGCAGTATCTCTCTGAGCTTTTAAGGTAGGCGTCCATAGATCCGCAACGCACGCATCTGACGGATCGCATTATACGGATTTTAGTATTAGTAGTAGATTTGTATAGAAGTTCAACTGCGTCCACTGATCCGCATTGAACGGACTGCACGCACCGGCTGCCGGTAATGCTCGGAGGGGCAACTTTTCCTATGGTATGCACCATCGACGTCATATGGATTACGTATCAGTGGAAGCAACCGCGCGCGCGCCGCCGCGCCGTCATTTGCTATTTGTTAAAAAGATTTTCACACGTTTCTCATTCTAAATTTTCTATTTAGAATGAGACATACGAAAATACTGGAAGAATTTTACGTCGTCGCTTAGCAAATCAGGAAATAGCGTATGGTATTCTCCATGTTACGATCTCTTCTTAAATATGCCATGTATCCAGATATCATGTTTCCTTTTTTTTCTTTTCTGTCTTCTTCTGCCAACAAACAAGCCACCACGATAAATTGTTCTTACTTACTAAATCTTACTTACTAAATCCATTGTCTCGCACACACAAGTTACACTCGTCCGCTCGCTACTAAAAGTGGCGTCGGCAATCCGATAGCTAGTAGTTGCGTCGGCAATCCGATTGCTGCGGATACAGTGAACTCACTGCCACAAACGGAGCCATTTAATGCGATTTGATGAGTGCGCTACGGATCTGTGGACGCCTACCTTTAATCTCAACAATCTGAGAACACTGTCACTACACCCATCATGCGTCACCCTGAGATACATATAAGACGAAAAGTCCCACATGCCTGTAGATTCATCAGCACCTATTACACTTTTTTTTTTGACGGGGGGGAAATATTTATGGATACCCCTGAGCCCAGGGAGACTCAGGGGTTATGTGGGGACTCTCCCTCCAGACTGGAGGGCCTACCCCACTAAAGCCCCCACGGGTTTCCCTCTCGCCGGTTGAATTGGCGCCGTGGGATCAGTGAACATTCACCAAGACGAGCACCTTTTACCCTACAAAATCGAAACGCAGTAATGCTTATGTTACTCTTTCACAAGGAGCTCTACTGCTACTAACATTGTTTTTTGTCTAAAGCAAATATTTCTTATATTTTGTAGATTGACCGCCAAACAGCAAAACAACGACCCTTCTTCTGTCGGCTACTTATTTTAGAGTACTAGTCATAAATAGTATTACATTAACTATATAACTATTTGATTTTAAATTCGGGACTTAATCGTGCTTAAAAACATGTTTTATCTCCCCTCATCATCGTCATATCATCCTCCTCTCCACCTCGTAGTTTCAGACGTATTGCAATCTCCGTGGTCTTGAAGGGACTGAACGTACACCATATGTCCGAAACGTCGAGGAAAATATAATACATTTTTATACACGATTAAGTCCCGAATTTAAAGTCAAATAATGTGTGAAAATCAGTGTCATTGGCTATATAAGTTCACATAATAGTCAGTAATAAATTGAATATGGTATAAGCCTCCTTAAAAACCTGCAAAGAGAAAAAAATACAAATTTTAATTATCTACAATGAAATAAATTAATGACAACACGCGTTAAAATTGGTTTAGTAATTTTAATAAAGCCGAATTTACATTTGTCTGACGTGTCAAGTCGTGACGCGTCAGAACGCCGTCAAGTCAGATTGCGACACACTAATATAAATCTAACCATGTTAAATGTATGTCGCATCACGATACACGTCAGACAAATGTAAAACCGGCTTTATCATATCGCACAGCTATCACAATAATGTTGTAACGCAAACTAAGTGAAATTCACGATTATACTATTTCTGAACGTAAAATTTGATCCTCTACAAGCATTGACTTACAAATAAATTGTAAGTCAATGTCTACAAGTCAATAAAACTCTTGTAAGAATATTGTAAGAAACAAGTAAAAGGTTTCTAATTAATTCAAAACTAAACAAACTTTTTGTGAGCTAGTTCTGGACAAAACAGTCTTTCTCAAAAATAGGAAGTGATTGTTTCAATTTTATTTTTAAATATATTTCAAATACAAATACAAATTAGAGTCCAAAATAGATATAATAATAATAATAATAACGCATACTCCGTAAATGTGGTCCAAACCAGCTAACAAGCTGAGAAGAATACTGTAAATAAAAAATAATAATATATACACACATGAGTGCGGGGCTATGAAGTCCCGCACTAGGGAAACCTTGAGGATACGATCGACACACATAGACAACCACAAAATACACCAAAAGTCATGAGAGATATAAATGTAGGCCATACAAATATTTCCCCCGGCCCGGGAATAGAACCCGGGACCTCTGCGTGGCAGTCCAACATGGTAACCGTCCGGTCACGGAAGCAGTAGACTTCCGAGCAATGTGGTCCCAAATACAGCCTCGGTTAAAGGATGAAAACTACATACGATATCGCAGCTGCATCAATAAAAACAAAATAACTTACCACCAAGAGAAAGAAATTTGACTCTTTTACAGTCTGCATCAAGACTAGCACGTATGAAAGAATCAATACAAGGTGGGGTAGAAACGGTAGTAGCAAAGATAGTGGCGTCTAAATTTGAGCCTTGATTAGGTGCAGATCGGTAGACAGTCATGACGATAATATTATATGCTACTTACGTCGGCTAGAGTATCGAGGCAGACTACCCTGAACATGGTCCGTATGACCATGAGACGCGAAGTGCGCGTGAGGATTACCAGCAGAACAACACGCGAGGACCGGTCCCAGTGCTTCTCCCAACCACAGGAGTATATCCCTTCTCTAAAGCTATCACTCTGTAGTAAACAGTATTTAATTAAAAACAATATAACTTTCAGCGTTAATCTCAAGAATAAATTAAAAATGCTTACGTGTTCTAACAATTTATCACTGTAGTAACATGGAAAGCTACCAAACAGTATCGCGCCTATGAAAATTGGAACAGGATTTTCTGGCGGAATTCGCTTATTTCTCATTGCCTGAAACCAAATTTTTTTATGATTAGGTATCAGGTGACAGGACTTGGTAAGCGACACGTCTATCCATCACGTTACAGTGCGACTCAGAGCTTTAAATCACAAAGATCTGAGAGCACTGCCACTAGAACCGACATAAGTTGACAAGTCCCATGTGCCTATAACTTCACCAGCACCCTTACCCTTCAAAACCTTACCGCTTGGCGACAGAAATAAGTGATTTCTTGTTTTTATGTTTACAAAATAAATAAAAAAAACTCTCAAATATTTCATAGCAAAATGCATTCATCAAAAAACAATAAAATACAGAAATACCAATTAGACCACGATTAGATTCAGCACTCAGAAAAAAACATTGTCGGCTGAGGCGTGGCAGAGGTGAGTTTAGTTATCCTAACAAAGGTTTTATTATGATGAAACCACAAAATGCAAATCAATTTGTAGTAGTGGAACTACACAATGATTTGCACCTTGTGGTTCCGTGATAATAAAAACTTGTTATGGGAACTAATCACCTCTGTCTGCTCTCAGCAAAAAAAAAATTGACGAGTGAGTTTAAAATTCATTGTCTCACCAACGACGTTTCAATAATCATATTTCTCATTTGTGATATTTTCGACATCGTCTGTGATTTTTAGGTACTCATAAGAAGTTCTACCGATTCTGCGCGGGTTTTTTGCACCACTTTTCGGTCAATAACACGTTATAGGACCAGAGTCAAACGATCTTGCGTTTTGTACAATACTTTTTCCTCCTTCGAGATAAAAAACTTAACTGATAATCTGGTTCTATGATACAACTTATTAGCAATCCAAAGCGGAAGTCTTGATCTGTGCTGCCCTCGATGAAATATGTGTCCGATGAAGTATGAAAGATGGATCTCCTTCAAGGAGAAGGGTATAGGCCATGGTTCGGTTAGTTAGCACAATGTGAGTAGGGGCTTCACACATTATCATAATTTGTGATTCTTCTTCGATATACAAGACGACGACCGACTTCCTTTTGAACACAGGATGACGAGGACAGTCCTAACTAAATCTCTATCGCGAGCAGACTACTCCTCCTGACCAAATTATAGATATGTTGGATGTTTATCGCAAAGACACGATTAGGTTCTAACCAAACCCGGACACGGTTAGGTCAAGCTAGGGTTAAAAGAAAAACATTTTCCTCTCAAAATTACTTTCGAAGTTATGAAATTTCGACCAAACGTTAATTCTGGAAAATGTCATTTCGGACTAATGATAGATAACCGTCCCGTCACTTGAGATTATAAAAAAGCTCCGCAGGTTGCGTGGCAGCTCCAACCATATACTGGAAACCATTGTCAGTAGATGCAATTCGCCTTCTATGCGGCAGCTTTTTTCGCCTTGCATATGGAGCATAATTTGTATTTCAACTGTGTATTAATTAAATTTGTTTTTAGTACTACTAATATACTTTTTAAAAATTAACATTGTTTACTATAAAAACTGGGCTATCATCACTGTACAGTATGTATACATTTAGTTATATCCACTCACCTGCACGATCGAGTAAGCCAACAGCGGCAACACGAACGCTGTTCCTTTTAGAGTGATATCATACAAGGCTTGAAATGCTTCCTGTATCTTCTCTACAAAACTAAATAAACAAAATTATTTATGTATTCTGTGCCACAAAACGACGATTTTCGTGATACCAAGTAACGGCACGCGCAAGTCGTGCACCTGGACGTAATCGACACGTCTGTCCATAGCAGCTTGCGTAATTTGAATGAAAATTCATCATCAACTATACCTCCCACTGACGGACACGTGGGATGTATGAACCTTCTTCGACACGGAAGTTTCATCACAACGTGTTCCGTATAACAATGTAACTGAATCTTGGGATGAGAGTGAAAATGATCAAAATAATGTGGAAATGCACTGCAAATCTTTGACTTTAATCAAGTTAATTTAACTTTAGTCAAGATACCGGATGGAATTAAACACATGATTAAATTCATTACTTGAGAATCATTGCAGCAATCGTTGTGCTGATAGACACGGAATATGTGTGAATAAAAACAAGTTGTATGATCACTTTAAACCAGGCTCCCAATTGACAATTATCATTGACAATTTTAATAATTAATATTACATTGTCTGCATTGTATTAACTAAAATCTTTATTAGAACTTAGACATTTGGCAACTAGCGTTATTGTAACAGTGAAAATATTCATACACACATAACAATAAATACAATAGAAGTGGATAGGTTAGCGTCTGCCGCGTGCCAACTATAGGTCTCGAACATTGACTTACAATTATATGGACGTCGGGTCCGCGGTAAAAAGTGTCCGAACTTATAGGGCGTTAAAATCGTATACAGAGCGTCATTCACGCTTTAGTCTTCGTTTGTTCGACTGACAGCGAAGCAAGCAAAATTAGACAGTACTGTGATGAGATTACAATTTAAATTCAACGTTTTAGCTTTTTCATATTCCTTTACATGTCACTACGTTTAAATAGGTTGACTTGGGACATTTTTTTCGTGGTTTTTGTATTAGACCCGTCGTCCATTTATTTGTCAGTCAATGGTCTCGAAAGACCTATCTGAGCTCAGTCCGCCACTTTCGCTTTGTACGGTATGGTTGTGTCATTCTTTCGTGCAAATTCTCTAAAATCCTAGAAAAATGCCTTATCGTGCTGTTTTGGAGTGCAAAAATGATGTGGTGGTACTGTGGACCCGTGGTGGTATTTCATATTATCGAAAAGTGTTATTTTAATAAATTTACAATTTTCTGTTTATCGAAATATTTTTTTTGTTACAAGTAACGAATGTAAAGTTTATACTCCTGCAATAAGGTCGCCTCTTTTTTGGAGAACTGAATTAATAACTCCAATTCATCGTCGTTCAGCAATTAACCGCTAGATTGCAGCACATTGATTAAAATTTCAATATAATATCAATACGTCGTAACTTGCAATATTAGGTATTTATGGTAATGAACTTTCTACGACATGCCAATAGGGTAAAGTTCAAACTATATTAACAATCCAGAATTTATTATTTCTTTTTAAATTTGAAACTACGAACAATCAATATCAAGATTTTGTAGTGTTTCAAATTATGAATGAATGAATTTTGGCGACTTCGGTTCTGATAAATCGAAGTTTAAGGCATTTCCATTGTTCTTTCTTCCTTGCGTACACAAGCTGGCACGCACGTACACATCCTTGAAACATCGGCGGAGATACTATAGATATTATATTACGATCTCATATAAAGTTATATTGTTATCTACAATGTTTGCTTATCCGCTCACGCGATGCGCTCCTCCTACCGAAAAATGGCGGCTATTTGGTTTCGCAAATTAGAAAAGCATTCAGTTTAAATACAAGTTTTTATAAATAAAAATTATTATTCTGCATTGCTAAATAAATACCCTCCGTACTACCAACAAAAACATTATAAATAAAATGGAGTAATACACCGCAAATCCTGCACTTAAAAATGGCACTAATGAAATTTTTGGTGTACTTGGATAAATATTATAATATTCCGTTTGAATGGTTCTAACGTTTACCATGAAATTACTCCTTAAAGTATAGTTTATAAACATTTATATTCAGGGTAAACTTAAAAAACGCTACTTACGGTATGTTTTCATTAAATAAACACCGAAACCACCAGCCCAAACAATAACACACACGATTGTCGTGATGTAATTTTGAAGTTGTTTATTTTTTTAAATGACAGACCCAGGCATTAAAAACTTTATGGTTTGCTAGAGTAGTTACCGAAATAGCAATTAATATTAGTTCTTTTACCTGTTATAACTTCGATATCGAATTTCGATAAATCGGTATAAAATCACCGGCACCTCTAGGTGTGGTATGCGTCTACGGCTGCATGTATCGCGTGAGCGGTTAGACAAACAAATATTCTCACAATTAGACTATCACTACTATATGGAATTTTCGTCATCATCATTTCAGCAGAAAGATGTCCACTGCTGACCATAGGCCTCACCCAAAAAATGCCACAAGGACCTGTCCTGCGCCGCTTGCATTCAGCGGTTGCAAAGTTTTGCAATTCTTTGGGCTATGTCAGTTACTCTGGTCCCCTTGCGAATATCCTCATTACTGATTCTATCTCGCAGTGAAACTCCGAACATAGCTATTTCCATTGCCACTTATGTGACCTTGAGCGGTTTAATGAAATCCATACTGAGCGAGCACGTGTCAGTACCGTAAGTCATGACTGGTAACACACACTGCTCGAAGACTTTTATCTTGTGGTATTTTGGACAAAAAGATATGGCGTAACTTCCCGAACGCTCCCAGTCGAGTCGAAGTCGACGACTGACTTCTTTCCCGAAGTTGGACCTACCTAACTGGATAATTTGGCCCAGTTATAAATAATCGTCAACAACTTCGAGTGTAGTAGTATATGGCAGTTGCTTACCTGTAAATTATTGTTAACTCCTTAGCGATATCCTTTAATGTTTTATTTGTTTCCTCAGCTGAGAAACCTTGATCGGGAAATAGATTCTTAAGACGACTTTCCAATAAAGCTAGTTGTCCACTCGCATGCAGCATGAGCACAGGCCCCAGAGGCACTAAGCTATTGTACATCAGGCAAGTGTACAACATTCCAAAGCCCATGATAAAATTTACCAAAACAAATCGTAGTAGAGACCGGTCTTCCAGGTTCGGGAAATGTGCGGGATATAAATCAGCAATATAGAAGTCATCATTTATAGCGGAATATATTGTAAAGCCTATAGCTTGGAGGGGATACACCATTACGCCCCAGTTAACAGTTCTACACCACCATTTTGTAACAAATTGTCCTTTGCGATTGTATTCAAGCACAATTTCCATTTCCTCAGCGGGTAACGTTTTTGCGTGTTCGTAATCGGCTTTCACATGTTCTATTAAATTACGAAAAGTATCTTGGTGTTTCAGCAAAGTTGCATACTTAAACGTTATAACAAGGTTCATTAGAACAAGTGTGGAATCTCCACAAAATCTTATCAAGTCTTTATTCTTGATGCCATATTCCTTTATATTATATAATAGGAGAAAGAGCATAGCTTCATATGCACCTTGCATGATAACAAATTTAATGAACCATTTCCAATCCCTCGGGCTATAAGGGTGAGCTCCGTTCAGTTTCAGTGCGTTGACAATTTGTTGAAAATTTTCATCAAAATCTAGATTCATTGTCGTTTTATTTTCTGCATTACAATCAAGTACTATAACATGGACTAAAATAACAAATATTAAAAACGCACCTACCGTGGGTTATCACAGATTGTCTTTTATTATAAGTACTAGCTGCTTCGCCAGCCGCTTTAATTCTGGTAAAAAGAACTTGTAATTTAATAAGCCAATTGGTTTCCATAAAGCAAATAAATAATAAATAAGGTAATACAAAATAATAAGATAGTCAGGTTTTTTTAGTTGCTATAAAACCACAAAAATTTTAGAATGAATTCTTTCTTCGTTAAGGTCAGGAGCCGAAAGAGGGTCTTGAAGCCTTAAGTCATTATTAGAGATGGGAAAAACTGCTCATAAACGTTTAAACGTTATAGCTTTTTTAAAAAGCATATTTTTTATGACGCTTTTCACTTAAACGCTTTTTAATGTGACGTTAAAAAAATCGTTCAGAAAAACATTTAATCGCATAGACTTATATGTTAAAAAAAGCTTACAGTGTTGTTGTTGATAGCGAAAAGCAAGAATAGACCACTAAAGATTTTGAGTTAAGTAAGTTTATTTGTAAAACACGAGTTTTATTTTTATTTACAAAATTATTATTCACATTGACAGATTAATTTGCTTAGGAAACATAAAATATGTGATATATATATATATATGACCAGCGCTTACGCTTCAAATAAACAGCGTGCTTATGTGCTTATTTTAAAAAGCAAACTTTTTAAGTGCTTTTCGTTTAAACGCCCGCCTCTACTTATAATGTAAAGGGTATTATTATAGCACTATAGTCTCCCAGTCGATAAAACAGACAAACAAATTAGTTTAAACTATTTTAAAGAGATGTCGCTACGATGCTCCAAATCCAAAAAGTGGAAAAAAACAACTTTGAAGGTTGTGAAATCTTGAGAACACAATGTATACATTACCTTTATAAGAAATACGTGACTTTTCCTCTTCGCCACATTTTGAGGGACGAGAAACATTTGCACAATTTTCGCATATATACATTCGTTTTCGGTAAATACATCGTAAGTATTGAATTTAGCGTAATGTAAAGCTGATAAACAAAATTAAGTTAGTACACTAACTTATGTAACACTATTTGTTCTTACTAGAGCTGAAAACATTTAACTTAAAATAAAGAACGCTCCTCTTTCTCCACCTAAATAACCATCTCGAAAAAATGAACAACAATCCGTTTTATATTTATAAACTGTGACCAACCAACGGTTAGTGCCACAAATGTTTCATGATTGGTTATGTAGTATTTAGATTTGTCTGTTTGGATTCTATGAAGTGTTCTCTTTATTGTGTTGTTTTTGCTATGTGGCTGACGTGTTCAATAATAATAGTAATAATATTTTTACAAAAGTATTTAAGTCAGTAGGCAGTAATATTAAAAATTGCATTGTTTGAGAAAAGAAAAGTAAGTGTACGCCGAATCGAAATAACCTAAGAAGTAGATAATGAACATTATGAATAATACCTCAATCTTTGATAAACTTATCGAACAAAATATTAGATCAGTCTGCTTATTTAGTTTTGCAAAAGGGTTTGAATTACGCAATGGCTCCTCGTCGTGTTCGATACGTAGAACATTACATACGAAGAAATTATTTGTAACGTTGAGGATTAGATAATTAACTAGATAGTTAAAAACAACATGAGAAAGGAAGATTTGGAGGCAATACGCCAAGACGTTTCGTCAATATTGCGTTCAAATAAACAGCCCAGGCCGAATCTTACTCGAGATGAATATAACGCGCTGAAGATCTTCCGCGAAGATCCTGAATTAGTCATCCTCCGTGCAGATAAAGGTAACGCGACGGTGGTCATGAATACGTCAGACTATAACAGCAAAATAACTGACTTACTATCGGATGAAAGCATGTATAAAAAGGTGAAGAAAGACCCTACCACCAAGATATTAAAAACAACAACTAAGTTAATATCTAAGCACTCCGATACGCTGAAACTGGATGTAAGTGAGTTTGTGCCCTGCTGCGTAAATCCTCCAAAACTGTATGGGATACCAAAAATACATAAGGCTGACACCCCATTCCATCCCATAGTTAGCCAAATTGACACACTAGGTTGGTGGCTCAACACATTGCAAGGTGACTTCTTACAACTGCATTGTATAATAAAATTTGGTTCTGGGGCTTTGAAACTCCTTAGTGTTACGCATTTTGAAGCCTAACATTTTAGCCGCTCTTTTTATTGTTATATCAATATGTACCGCGAATTTGAGTTTTGAGTCTATAACTACCCCTAGATCGCGGATCTCTGTCACTTCTTCTAACTTGTCCGCACACAGCATGTACTTAGATATGATTGGAGTTTCTTTCTTGCTTTCTTGTGCCGCATATGTGACTTCTTTACATTCATAGTCATTCTATTAGACAAGCATCAACTTTGTACACTATTCAAGTCACTTTGCACTAGATCGATATCAGAGGAAGACATAACTGTTCTGTAAATCTTCAAGTCATCTGTCAGCATATAACATAAAGCGACTAAACCGTATGTAGTTAGTGATATCATTAATAAATACTAGGAAAAGTATAGGCCCGGTATGCGAGCCCTGAGAAACGCCCGACTCCGCGATATAGGTATTAGACTCGTCACCACTGATTAAAACCACTTGAGATTTTAGTTCAAGATACGACCGAAACCACTTGTGCAAGGATCCAAGAACGCCGAACGATTCCAACTTCTTTAAGAGTAATGAGTGACAAACTTTGCCGAAGGCATTACTGAAATCAGTGTAAATGGTATCCACTTCACCCATTACGTCATGTAAGAACATGCTCAAGTTAGTTTCAATGGAACGGTCGCGTCTAAATCCAAGCTGAGAGTCGGAGAGAATGTTATCTAAGTGTCGGGAAAGAAATGGGCATACTAGATTTTCGAATAATTTCGAAAAACAAGACAATATCGAAATGCGACGATAGTTCGTCGTACTTTTTAAAAACTGGTATTACTCTAGCTCTTTTCCACTCTTTGGGAAAGATACCGTCTCGCAAGGAACGATTAAATATTGTCGTGAGCGACGAAACAATTGTGAAAACACAGTTCCTAACAAACAGAGGGGGAACACCGTTCTGCCCCGCTCCTTTATGTACATATATCCAATTGTCGGCTTTCGTAAACAAAACATGCGTGAGTTAACTATCAATCACCGTATTAAGCAGATAGCCACTCTTAGGATCGTTCCTGCTGAACACAGACGAGAAATGATTGGCAAAGAGTTTGGTTGATTATGGCAGTTGGATAATGCAGAAGAAAGTGAGATCCATTGAATCGAAGGATGCAAAACTGTATTGGCTCGGCCACGTGAACCAGTTGGACGCTCTAAGTACCGTTGATCGAGAAGAATCTGCCAGAAATCCAAGCTGTGGAAGGGCAAAGCTCATAACAAATCCTAATACCGTTGTTACAGACGGCCGTACGAGTCTGGCCGGTCAGAGCAATGTTTAGAGCGGAGTTCGCGGCGCATTGATAGGGTCGGTATAATGTGGGAGACGCCGTATATATGCAGGTATATAAGAGAATCTTGTAAGATTTGTTGATTCACTTTCATTCTTATTCGATATTCCGATCCGAGTTGTTGTTCGATTTTTTCAACTTGTAAGTCAGATGGACATAAGGTGCTCAAATAAGTTTCTGTAGAAATGTGTACTGTCCACTTTCCTAAGTTTCAATCAATTTCTTCAAGAAAAGAAGAATACCGAAGTAGGTCTGGTCCGACTTAAGGCGGATTCAGCCAGGATCCAACAGCCATCTTATAGTTGCGGAGTATAAGATAGAAAACATGAAAAGATTATCTTCTTTAAGTGCACCTTTGAACAGTGTCCAGTGTGTTTAAGGTACATTTTCAACAAAGACTTTAGACACATTCACACACATCTATAAATGTAGCCCACCGTACGACTACTTACGTACGTACCGTTACTCACAATATCACTGAAGCATCGGATCATGCAGTAGTCGATAGATTGTAAAGGATTATTGAACGAATAGTTTTCGATTTCATTAAAATAGTTAAATCGTATAACGTGATGAGGAGAGCTATTTCCGCACGGTGGTATACGACAGCAAACTACACGATACATGTATCATGGTTATTTTCAAGTTAAATTTAAAATAATGCATTTGAGTGCATGGATGTACATTGTACACAAGTATACAATTATTGGTATAACTTGATATGTTATTAGAGAGAAGCTTATTGAATATTTGTTCGGTAGAAAATTGCAAACATACAATACAGGATGTAAAAGAAAGCGCACTTCGAATTATAAAGGATGATTTTGAATATTTTGATCGAAAATGCTATACCAACGCTTAACAAACATTGCAATGAAACATTTTATAACATAACCATTTTAAATTACTAAGTTAACTATACAGGAATTAACTCTCAAAACTAGGCCGTAAGGTTAGTGCAGAACTCTATGTTGTCTCTTGTCCATCACGCACTTGGCCGATTGTTTATAAATCAGAATATAATATGAAGCGATCAATAACTATAACGATTGTTTAATAAATAACTTGTGTGTACTTAGGGCAGGTGGTAACATAATTATACAAACAGGTGGACAGATTTCATAAAATTGCCGGAAAAAAATTGCTACTTAGTAATAAGGCCTCATAATGTTAAAATGAGTGGTACCGTAAAGGCATTATCATATAATAGAATAGAATAAATATTTACTGCAATGCCACAACCATAGATACAAAAAAAAATTGATAACACGCACAAGCATAAGAAAATAAAAAGAATTAATAAACAAAATACAAAATACAATTTAAAAAAGAAAACAATAGTATTATTATAGTGTGTATTTAGAAAATATTAAGAACTATATGCTTTTTGTAATTCTAATAACGCGCACACTCAACGTAGTCCCGCACTAGGGAAACCCTGTGTCGCGGGTGTAATGGACACATACATAGACAACCACAAATTACACCCAAACTCACGAGAGAAACAAATAAAC